CAGTATTCCTTTAGTTACAGTATTCCTTTAGTTACAGTATTCCTTTAGTTACATTAATATTTTAGTTGCATTATTATTTTAGTTGCAGTATTCCTTTAGTTACAGTATTCCTTTAGTTACATTATGTGTTTAGTTCTTGAGAGAGCGCGTGATGAAGTTAAGCTCACAGCAGTCTGCTCCTCAGATAATTCACGTTACTACGGTAACTTACTTTTACATGTATGGATGTTTCTGTTCAGTGTCTTGAGAGGACTCCCGTTGTGACTTGGCCTTATATAAACAGACTGAATTGAAAGATGAATAAAAATAACCAACGATGCTTTGAAATGGGACATTTTTGCAGTAACTCCTGTGTTTCCTGCCAGATTGTCCTCGCCTTCGGTAACTACATGAACAGCAGTAAGAGAGGCGCGGCCTACGGCTTCAGGCTACAGAGTTTAGATCTTGTAAGTAGCTTCTGTCTTTAGGTTTATTCTTTCATAAGAAACAATATGTGAATCTGTTTTGTAACGGTTTATCTTTTAGTTGCTGGAGACCAAGTCAACGGACCGCACACAGACGCTCCTCCAGTTCATGACGAGCATCATCGTGGAAAAATACCCCGACTTGGTCAACTTCCACACTGAGCTTCGCTTTATAGACAAGGCAGCTCTTGGTACGTACCATGCTCAGCCCTCTCCGTGTTCCAGCCTATTTGTCTAGGAAAATCTGTTTAAATGAATACATTTCTTTTTGCTAGTGTCCCTGGACAGCATTCTTCAAAATATCCGTTCATTAGAGCGAGGAATGGAGATGACCAAGAAGGAGTTCCTGGTGCAAGACGACAGCCCTGTGTTAAAGGAGTTCATTAAAACGAACAGCGAGCAGCTGGAATCGTTGATCAAAGACAGCAAGACAGCACAGGTTGGCCTTTTGTTAAGATCTAAACACGTATGGCTTTAAAAGATAATTACTCATACGTGCTGTTCTTCCTTCAGGAGGCTTACGTCTCTGTTGTGGAGTATTTTGGAGAAAACCCCAAGACGACGCAGCCTTCCATGTTTTTCCCCATGTTTGGCCGCTTCATAAAGGCATATAAAGTGAGCGTATTTCTAATTTTAATCTCTTACAACTTTTTTATATTGTGCACTAATCATTTCCTGCTGTTACTGTATGCAGACAGCACAGCAAGAAATAGAGCAGAAAAAGAAAATGGAGATAGGAGCCTGTGAGGTGAAGGAAACACCTCCAATCAAAGCTGGAGGACAAAAGGTAAAACTGATCACACATCAGAAACGTTTTAAATAAAAAAGATCAAACATTTGTTGAAGGCAACCGTATCGCCCATCGACTCTCGTGCCAGAGTTTAGCTTGTAGCCACTTTGGTGAAGCCTTGAACAAAACATTACGCATGTCATGCTTTATAACAAGCTGCTGAGTTGTAACTGACCCCGCTCTTTTAGCTCAATCTACAAATGTGACCGAGTTTATTTATTATTATTATTATTATAATTATTTAAGACATTTATGTTCTTTCTAAAACCATGTGGCAGTGGTCGCCATCTTGAATTTGTTAATTTATAAAAAAAAAAAAATAATTTCAGGGTCCTATGACGCCTAAAATGCCTCAGATGGATCTGATAGCAGAGCTGAAGAAGAAGCAGCTGAAACCTCCGGTACGAGAGGGGAAAGACGGGGCTCTGGAGGACATCATCACAGGTACAGCAAGCAGAGGATTTCATTTTAGCTCTTTACTGATGTTTGAATTTATACACATGTGCTGTCCCAATGTTTGAATTTATACACATGTGCTGTCCCAATGTTTGAATTTATACACATGTGCTGTCCCAATGTTTGAATTTATACACATGTGCTGTCCCAATGTTTGAATTTATACACACGTGCTGTCCTTTCCCTCAGATTTAAGGAACACGCCATACAGACGGACAGACGGACGTCGGCCTGCTCAGCGCCAGGACACCTGAGTCCAATTTGTTGAGATTTTTTTTTGTTGTTTTAATAAATTTAACTATTGCAATTACACACACAAAAAAAAAAAACAACAAATATTGCAAGTTTTATGATATGCTGTATTAAGAAGTGTTGTGTGTGTGTGTATATATATATATATATATATATATATATATATATATATATATATATGACAAAAACAAGTATGGTTAGTTAGCCTTTTGGCAATTAGCAATATTTCAGTGTAAATAGAAGTTGAAGGTTTTATCAGCAATAAGAAGTTTATAAATTTTGATACTCAAGTTACAAAACTTTTTATGTTTATCATCATGTATAAATTTGTGATACAGATTGTGAATTAATTAATGTAAAATAAATACTTTTTAAATAAGTAAACTCATTTTTTAATCTGTGGTTTTTATATTTTCTTTTTGCAAAAATGTAGTGTGAATGTTTACTGCAAAAGAACATGCTGAAAAACAGCTGAAATTAAATAAAAACATGCTGAAAAACAGCTGAAATTAAATAAAAACATGCTGAAATGTAGATGAAATGGAAAAACAAACCTAAATTAGCAGAAGAAAGCATAAAGAACACATATTTTCTGAATTAGGTTAAATTTGCAGAAATTAGTAAAAGAAAAAGCTGAAAAGTCAGAAAGAACCGTAAACTACCAGAAGGAAGCAGAAAGAGCTGAAATGAGCTAAAAAAAAAAAGTAGAATTAGCAGAAAAAAGCTAAAACTAGCAGAAAGGAGCATAACAAGCTGAAATTAGCATAAATAAATTCTGAAAGTAGCAGAAATTACTTAAAAATTCTGAATTTATCTGAAAACAGCTGAAATTAGCTAAAAAAAAAGTAGCTGAAAAGGTAGAACAAGCTTAGATTAGCAAAAGAAGGCAGAAAGAATGCGTTTGTCCAATTAGGCTGAAAGATGCAGAAATGAGCCAAAAAAAGTAGAATTTTTTTGAAAAAAGCTGAAATTAGGGGAAAAATTGCTGAAAAGTACATGTGGATAAAAAAGCAGGAAAAAAAAAGCTTAATTAAATTCAAAAAGACTTTATTAATCCCAGAGGGAAATTATTTGTTGTTGTAACTCATTATCCTCGTTTCATTAAGAGATGTTATAGATGCTGATGCTGTAGACAGGAAGGATCTCTTGTAAAGGTCCATCCCACAGCGGATCTTAAGAAACTGGACACAGATGCCGTCCGATCCGTCCACCCAGACTCGGCTGGCCTCTCGGTTCCTCCGGGCTGTAGGACCGCCTGAATGCCGAGCAGAACTCCTCCCACAGCGATGGCCACTCCTCCCAGCAGTCTGCTGAGCTCCTCGTCGCTACAGGCTGTAGGTGTTGGGGATGATTCCAGTCCTTCCGCTGTCACAAGCCGGTTTCCTGCCAGTTCCAGGATCTCAGTGGTCAGGCACTCGAGCACAGCCGGCAGGTAGATGGGAATGCGTCCACAGCTCCTCCTTTTCAATTCATTCGAGATTTGGGGCTGTAGTTGAGATATTATTTGAGTTTTTGTCCAAATGTCCAAAAGTAAAAGTTTCTTAAATTGCCAGAAGGAAGTGGAGAGAACACATTTTTGCTGAATTGGGCTGAAAAAAGTGGCAAATATTGCAAAAAGTGTGGAACTAACTGAAAAAGCTCAAATTAGCATAAAACAGCTAGATAGTAGCTGAAATAGCAGAAAAAGCTGAAACTTGTCTAAATAAGCTGAAAGGAGCCTAACAAGGTAGCAGAAAAAGTTTACGTTTTCAGCAGGAAGCTGAAAGAAGTTGAAGCAGAAGAAAATGTGAAAGGAGCAGTAGAAGGTTGTAAACACATTAAAGATTTGAAGGAGGTCAAATGAGCTCAACTCATTTTCTACGAGAAAAACAAGTGGCATAAAAAGCTAAATACTTCAAGAAGTTAAAGTTGCACCAATACCAAAAGTCACAGCAGCAAAAACTGTGGAAGGAGAAAGATGCAGAAACATGTAGAGAACATGGATCACAGTCGTGTGAACGCTTCACAATAAAAAAACAAACAGAAGGTGAACAAACAAACCCAGACCAGACTGTACAAGAGAGCTGCACTTTATTAGACACACAATCACAGCAACTTATGTACAAAACAAGGCGGGTGCACGCGCCGGCCTTCTCACAGGAAAATAAAAACTAAACGCACACGTGTCTCACAGAACATCATGGCATCCACACGGATAAATTGGTGTCTCCAGCCTAGGCTTTAAAATCGATATATTTTATACGACTGATCTCTTTTATGTATTATTTTTGTTCTTATATCACACTACTCTACAATGGGAGCATCGCTCTGAGGAAGGAGTACACCTTCAGTGCTGACGTCTCTGGGTGCGTTCACGAGCACACCATCATCATCATCGTCGTCACATAACTCCACAGTAAGACTGAACATGCCTGCGTCACAGAAACCAAAACAAAGGACCATTCTCTGTGTTTGTAAACCTCAAACATATAGACCCACACGTCCACCTTTACCTCTTCCTAATATCTGTAAAACATGTAACATTTTATCTAAACTGCACCGTGCGTTTGCTCGACACTATACATGCATTGGTTGTGTATATACCTTTTGTACCCATTTCCATATTTAATAATAAAACATCTTTTAGATAGAACAATTTGTTGAATTAGTTCGTCTATTTACAAGTCAATTTTATTTGTCTACTTTCTGATGCCAAGTTTTTTGAACATCCACACATTCATGTACAAATCTCGTATACATACGGAATGCAGGACGAAAAAAATAAAATCAAAACGTGGAAAAAGGTGGAATTTCAAGTTTAAACAAATTTCCCTTAATAATCCCATCTTTACTGCTTTTATACTTTAGCTTGCAACTTAAAGCTACGAGCTCGAGCAGAATAAGCATCAAAACGTGCGTCCACCTGGTGTTTCCGAACCTTTGAGCGTCTAAAAGCTGACATGATGAACATTAAAGCCTTTTGTCAAAGCAGCAAGGCCTCACATGGGCTCATTCACAGTTAAACAACATGTTCTGTCTCTCACCGTCTCCAGTGTCGCTAAAACCACTGCAACAAATACAGAATGGCAGAAACAGGTGAGTAAAACATTTAAAATGATAGTAGCAAAATAAGTCTCTACAAACAGGCACTGGTCCAGCATCTTCACCTTCTCATTAGGAGCCGAAGGTGCGAACGAGCTGGACGAGCATCGTCAGGGACAAACTTTTCAGTTGTCATAAATACATAAAATTCAACTTGGTGTTCGAAAAAAAAATCCTACATTTTCAAAATTAACTTCAAAGTATATTACAGAGCCTAACAATTCTCTTTACATATATTTGAAACCATATATAAAATGTTCTGCATATGAATAAATAATCTCAGTGTGAAATGTAATATCTCTCTTGATGAATTAAGAAAGAAAAGAAATCTGTACAAAATGATCACTCATATAGAAATCAGAAGAAGTGATGACATTTTACAGTTTATCGTTTATTCTAGGCCTAAATATATATTTATATCACATTTTCTCCACAATATCATACACAGACATCGCACTTAGATATATTTATATATGTATATTTCTCTTATGTTTTAGTTTCAAGTTTGAGTTTTTTTATTTTTTGATTGCCAGAGACGTCCACTGAGTCTGCTCACCATGGCTGCAGCCTCCAGAAATCACAGCCCGCTAACGCTCGTCCTAAAAATAAAAGTCCAGAGGGATCGTCATGCGTTTGGGTGGGAGTCCATCGCCAGCGTTCTATTAAAACCTCTTCCTGTTGGATGCTCTGCAGATGCACGTGCAGCCAACTGAATGGAGCATGTGCATTTATTGCACCTGAAATCCTCTGTGAGTTTAGAGCTCGACGTCCGTTCAGGCTGATGGCGCCTCACACACGGTGGATTTTCTCTGATGTTCTCCACCTACTTTGTGCAAAAATAGGTGGAGAAACAGTTTTCTCAACCTTTTCTTTGGGTAAAAGTAGGGATGCACGATATTGGATTTTTGGCCGATAACAATATTTTTTCCCCTAGACCTGTTTACAGAGACTACATCACGTTCTCTGCTGTGGAACTAAAATACATTATTCTGCATGGTCTTTGGATGGATGGAGTGCTGGTGAGGTTTTGTTTCTCCGCGGTTGACCGCGCTCTCACTTTCCTTTCTGGCCACCATGAACTTATCGTAATGGTCAGAATGGTGGTTCTTGAGATGGAAAATTTGGTTCAAAGTGCTGTAAGACTTTGTTTTTGCTCCTCTTTGCATCACTGACGCTGAGCAGTCATTGCAAAAAGCAGTTCTGCTTTCAGTTTCCAACACTTTAAGAAACTTCCACACCGCCGACATTTTCACTTGTTCCTCTCTCCCACCGTGATCTGAACAGGTCGGTACGTGTGACATCATCACGTTGTGCTGGCGCTGCAGGCATCCTTGTCACTGGGTTGTCATACAAAAACAGCTCCTTATATATATATATATATATATATATATATATATATATATATATATATCGGTGAGTTATTTTGATGGAATGGCCGATGTTTGAAATTTAACTTTATCGCCAATATCTGCCAATACCGATACCATGCTGATAATATCGTGCATCCCTAGGTAAAAGCAATATTCTGTCAGTGCTGCTAATACAATACTTTAAAGCAAAACTTTTCAGGGATTTTTCTGGCAAGAAAGTCTTACAGGCACTGGGTAAAATTAAAAAAAGTAATAAACTGGTTCTTGAAGACAATCAGGCTGGAGTATGACAAAGGCAAAGAGCACTACATTGGTAAAAGAGCAGGAGCACTAATTACATATTGCACGTGTTGCTTGGATGTGAAGCTCATTGAAAATGGTTCAATAACATTAAATATGTAGTTTTATATAAAAGACACAGAAAAGAAAACGCAGCGAGCAGTAAACGAACAGCTGTTTGTATCTCTTTGCCCTTCGTATGATCCCGTCTCACTGGAGTCGAAGCTGGCCTCAACTTCAGACTCATGACCCAAAACAAGTTTTAGTCTTGATGCCAACAAACAATACATTTCATTGGAAGCAGCACGACAATAAAAGTATTTATATTTCCAAATGCATGCGTGAAGTGTAAAGTCTAAACATTTTGTAGGTTTGTGCTCGTTACAGTTAATCAGAAAAACAGTGAAACCCTGGTTCCCAAACTACTAGGGCGGTTATTTAATATTTAAACCCCTAATTTAGTCAATAAAATAAAATCGTAGAAAGTCAAAGTTGGAAAAGACACTTAAAAAAAAGTTTATTTTGAATTTGATGCCAGGATTGTACCCAAAACAACTTTGAGATGATTACCTTTGTATCATGCACAAGAAAGTATTTATGAATTGATTTTTTTTTTTGTATTTAATATTTTCATACAAAGAAATAGTTTCTAATTTACTACATTTATTATTTTACTGCCTTATAGATGACATGTTTCATCGTGTACTTGCACAGGAAAACTAGATTTGAATCCACATGCAGTTTTCTGGTCGGTTCCAGTTCAATGTTTATAAGTTTTTTTAAAAAATCCAGATTTTTTTAAATAAATGTTCTTTTACAATTTTTGATGCCTTAACGTGTTCACCGCCGTTATATTTAGCCTTCAGCCCAACGCGTATAACAATTCTTACATGTACCTGCTGAATATGTACAGTAAAATCTGCAAATCTTTGCAATTTTATATATAATCATAAAGTATTATTATTATTAAGCATCTTTTTTTCTCTTTCAGGAGTGTCAAACTGAGTTGTATAAAGAGCGAAACTTGTAAACATTTTGAAGTCATGGCTAATTTCAGTGGAAGCAGTAACCCAAGTCAGATATCTGACACCTTTTATTGGTTCCAGGTTCATAAACAGGAGTTAAACTGGTCCCAGTTGATGTTCTTTGTTGCAATCCTCCACATCAGAATCAAATATTACAGAAAAATCCAACCTTTTCTCTGTCATGAGAAACCTGCGTTAAATAATTTTAAAGCAAAATGAGAAGCATTGAACACATTTTTCATTTCCGTTATAACCTTGGGGGCCATATAAGATGCTGACAGGGGCCTTGGGTTTGACACGTGTGCTAGAGCTTCTCTGTTTTACTGGTATGATGTGTCTGTAGTCAAATATCACACGGCACGTTCTTTTCAAGAAAAAACACGTTTCAAAAACCAGGCGGCCAGACTTTGATTGTGAAGAGTTTCTGCTCCTCATCCTGAGGAGCTTTTTCATTTCAAAATAAAAGTCTGGAGTTCAAAGCTTCAGAAGACTCGACGGTTCCCTTGTCCCAGGGATCAGAGACCTTCTTGTGAGGACAGCAACGTTCATCTTTTGAACAGAGAAAACAAGATGGTTTGAGGAGGAAGACGAAGGAAGCCGTTTGTGTCAAAAGTTAAAAACAGGAGGAGGTCTGAGGCGTCACCTTTTCAAAACCTCCCCTGAAGCATGACGATGGATTCTCAGTCATTTTTACTCAACTCATCATGACTGCTGTTAAAGGTTAGACAGAGGTGGGGCTATAACTTTGTTGTTTCTAAAAAGTTGCATTTAGCTTCAAACACTAGCGAAGCACGATACTGGATTTTTGGCCGATATGTTAAAACTTACTGGGCCGATAACCGATACCATGCCGATAATATCCGATACCGATACCATGCCGATAATATCGTGCATCCCTATAAAAAACAACGCTTTGTGCTTTAAGTCCTGCCTGCACACGATCATGGTCACATGACCTGACTTAAGGCATTAGACAGATTACAGCTGAACATACAGTAGCGACGATGAGTCAACAAGCATCAACACCTAAAAACTGATCTGAGGTGTGTTTTCATAGCTTTGACTTCAACTTGAAGGTTCTGTTCCGACGCCTACAATAATGTTAGTCTTTACCGTTACTGGGGCACGGCACTTTATTTTGAACGCTTCGAACGCCAGACATTTTTTAAACTGAAGAAGCTCCACAGATGAGATGCAAATTGTCTAAGCTACAAAACTGATCAAAATCTACAATGTTGTCGACTCTTTTTAAAAATTTTTAACGCAAAACAAAATAAAATTTAAAACATACTGGCACCAAATTCAAAATAATCATATTCAAAAAGAGTTAAAATGTGTTTTCCCCATTTCATTTGTCGCCACTGTATTTATTTTTGTTAGTGGTTGTGAACGGTTTGAGAATGGTAAAGTTGGAGGCAGAGGGAGTTTCTGTGCTTTCTTTGTTTTACATTTCCATATTCTCCTCTGAGTCTCGACAAAGGGCCAAACAAGAACATTTGGGCCGATTAGCATTCTTCATCTCCGGACATTAAGCGCCATCAGCTCATTAAAGTGAAAGAGAATGTGCAAACTACTAAAAACTCTGGGAGCTTTGTAGCAGATTAACTCTGAGCATCAAATAAAAAGAAAGTTCCATTAAAACATCTATTAGTCTGTAGATCACAATCCTTCAGGGGAGAAATGTTCTGGTCAGTGTGGCGACTTTCACCCGAGTGCTCGTTAGCAGACGCAACATGACAAAATGTCACAATATTTGCTAGAAATTTAAAAGAAGAACAATAAAAAAGTCAAGTCTTTGCTGTACAACTTGGCTTGAGAAATGCATGTACTTCAGACACCGTGTGTGTGTGTGTGTGTGTGCGCGCTTGAGTCTTTGGGATGGTTTTAATGTCAGGTGCTAAAATGTCAGAGCAACCTGTGCGATGCTACTGTGGAAACATCCTGATTGTCATAATGAAGTCATTACACACAGAACGCATGGAAGCCATCGTTTGTTTCACCGTGCCTCCTGGTTCGACTGTAAACAGCTCGTTATAATGCGCTTTAACATAAACTACACTTTTTGTCTGTTGCCAATTAAAAAAAAAAAAATCACAATCGTCTCTTTTTATAGGGTTAAGTTTGCAGCGATGCACACAAATATTTAAATAAAACATGGAATTAAAGATGATGCTTCTGCAAAGTCTCAAGTTTTTACAAACAGATGGGAAAAGATAGCACCAAGTCAAAGTTTAAAACTCAGCTAATGCACGAAAAGAAAAAGCAATACCGTATTTTTCAGACTATAAGACGCACTTAAAATCCTTTAATTTGATTAAAAATCAACAGTGTATTATGTATTAACTCTGGTTGTGCTTACTGACCTGGAACAGATTTTATGTTGTTGTGAACGAGTTGAATAAAGTTGAACTTATCTGACTGTTTTGTTTCGCTTAAAGCGCCTTATAATAAAAAAAATACGGTAAATGCTGTTTTACGCCAAACAGCCCAAACCATAATCATAACATCCATCTTTTAAACTTTCTTTGCTTAACGCAGACTCCTTCTGCTAGGTAAGTAAAAGCAGTATTATCCTAAACATACTGATTATTGCAACTCTATTTTCTATAAAGTGTAGATATGTTCGCTGTGCCACCAACTGCCCACTGAACGAGGGTGTGTGAGAAGACGTCCAGGCTCAGCAGCAGCTGGTGGACAGGTCTGTTCCTCTTCTCTCTGCTGGGGAACTGGCAGTACGACTGCGTGGGGGAACCGCAGAGGAACCGTGGAACCAGACTGGGGAACAAATCTTGTCCAAGGTTCGTTTTAGAGGGAAATCTTAACAAGCGAATCCAAAGTTGTATAAAAAAGAGATGGAACAGACTTCTGAAGGATGGTATGAGTAAAAATTAAAGATGGATACAAGTTGTCTACACGGCTGATGATGCTCCTTGGCGTTTGTTCTCGTCTCCTTCAGGTTCTAGAAGTTGTCACCATCCTTGCAGTTGTTGAGTTGTTGAGGGCTGTCAAGGCTTCGTCTGCTGGGCTTGACAGCTCCCGAGGAAAACGTAAAGGAGCCCAGAGGAGTGGGAGAGGAGGGAGAGAGGGATGAAGTGGGGGTGGTGGGGGAAGAAGAGGATGAGGGGGTGGAGGACTGGCTGCTGGGGAGAGACGAGGCTCGCTGCTCACGTAGAAGGCGGCGCTGACGGAGGGCAGAGGACAGGAGCAAGGCTTCAGCGGTCAGGCCAGAGGCCGACAGGCTCGCCAGGAGGGTCTTGGCCTGGCTTGAGGAAACGGTCAGGGAGGGCGCTGCCCCCTCGTAGGGGCACTTCCTCAGGCCGGGGGCAAACGTCGCCACGGGAGGGGTCACTCTGCCTGGAAAAATGCCCACTTTGAATCCGGAGAGGTACGGTTCAGTGCTTCCAGTGCTCTTGGTGCCCGAGGCCTTCAAGTAGAGCGGGGACACAGAAGATGGGAGTGGGGGGGTGGGGGGGGGTGGTGGGGGGGGGGGTGGAGGAGTCGTATAAAGAGATGAGGTTTTCAGGGGTCGAAGAGGGAAACCATAAAAAATGAGTCTTAAAAACTGGCTGTGGCTGGGCTGTGCTTCCTGCAGCACCACCTTCCATCATTTCACTCAAACATGCCTGCACGAGCACGCTTGCACACACACACACACAGCACACACACACACACACACACACATACACACACGCTCATCCACTAATGCACAGAGTGGGTTTCAGAGCATCGTTTGGATCCATCACTGGAGATGTGAACGGGGCTGGTTAGAGTGGGCTGATAATTGTGCATCTCTAGTTGGGTGAACAGGAGGAGGAGGAAGCTGAAGAGGCTGGACACAGACGGGTTGTTCACTGCAGCGGGGTTAAACGGGCGGGCCGGGAGGTGAAGGGACCACAGGTTCACACAAGGAGACAGGATGGGTGAGGTTGCATCACAAGCATCAGAAGAGGGGGTGGGGGAGTAAAAACACAACAAGAGACAAACACAGGAGATTGTTATTCAGGTCGATATCAGCACGTGATGAAAGCCGTAACACAGGCTACCATCTGCACATGATGACCAAACCAGTGATCCCACTGATAATACGCCGTTTACTATGACGTGTCTGTGGAATTTTTATATTCCTTGGGGAAAAAAGCCCATTTCTTCAGATAAGCAGAGAAATGAAACCACACCTTTATTCCCTTCATGTGATGCAGAAATAGACGACAGCGTTTCAACAGAGAAACTTGTAGAAACATTTGGAACAGGGTTTAGTTTCTCCTTTGCTGTAGTGACAGAAACTGCATGATGCATGAGCAGAGAACAAACTGGACAACAAACACTGTAAAGACGTTAATTTAGAAACAATGGCAGATCTACAGATTAGTTTTATTTTTACAGAATGGCGAAGGTGGGGCTTGAAGTTGCAGCAGGAGGCAGAGGGTATTGTTGCAGGAAAAGTTTGCCTGTTCATTTATATTTTTAATTGTAGACGCACAAACGCAATGCATTGATGACGCATTAGACGTGCACAGTGTTTAATTTAGTTCACAGAACAAGCGTTAAACTCACACGGGGTCAAAATTAAAGCCCTGATTCTATTGGAGGGTCAACCTTGGTCAATATTTTTTGAAAGAGAAATATGTCAATTTAACATTTTCAGATTTTATTTTCAGATTTGTCAGTTGGTCTGAATTGTGAAAACGGTCAGAAGTGACTAAAGTTGTGCTTCAGGGGTTGAAAAGCTCCAAGCAGTGGGTCTTAGAACAGTCGTCACCACAGAGAAACTTCCTGGAGCAGTTGGTGGTAGACCCATCGTGAAGTCCAAAAGGGCTGAATGTGAACACTAACCTGGTGAGTTAGGACAGAGATCTAAGTTCTGTGCAGACGTGACCGACTTTTAACATCGGACAGATTGTATGACCTAGCCACAGGCACAAGGCAAGGTCAGGTGTATTCTGGCAGATCCTGATCATCCACACAATGGTGAGTTCAAGTTGCCTCCACCTGGACGCAGGTATTGATGAAGAGACTGAAAAACTCATTCATCCCTGAAGTGATCAGGCTTCTCAACAAACAATGACTTCTGTACTGCTATTTTAATGTCTTGTCTAGTATGACTGACTGTGAAACAAATTGCTCCTTGGGGGTAATAAAGATTCTTGAACTAGTCTACAAGTAGGGAGGCAACTGGGGTGGCAAGATGCATAATTATTGTACTGTGGCAGCTTTAAGCAGCGAGAGCTTCCTACAGCTTTTCAGTATTTAAAAGCTGATGCAAAACATGCTACTAAAAACTGCACTGAAGCAGAGCAGGCTACTAATCTAAGCTGCGTTGTAAAGAGGCGTGCATTTACTCGGTTGTAGTTTCAGAATGTGACACAAATCGTTCCCCTCGAGCACAGCGGCTACTTCTGCTTGAGAAACCACAATTAAACCTCTGATTCTGGTCAGTGAACGTGGAAGAGCAGCCTCCCTGGATCTCACTCAGCCAGCTTCTTGTCTGACGTCACTTTCCCACCTCGTGCCCGTCACCTACAACTCGCCTGCTTTACTGGCAGAAATGACAAGAGGCCAATTGGCAAAACGGAAAGTTTTCACGCGTGAAAGTGATTCAGATGTCGCGCTCTTCTTGATCTGTGGCAAAGCAAACGAGGAGAAACTGCCATTTTTAACTGTCTGAACACAGCTCATTGCCTCGAAGGATCCTCGTGCCTGGAGTGTTTTAATGCCACTGGATGATGCTCAGGTGAACAGAGAGCGAGCTCAGCTGCACAAAGAGCTTTCAGAAAAACCTGATTTCAACACATCTACATTTACAACATGTCTTTTACAGGAACGTTGATGCAACAAGAAAAGTACAGCTGCTAAAATCTAATTGGCCAGGTTGATTCCTACACCATAATGTCAGTTAACAAACCGTGACACACAAAACATGGCTGTTTTAGTCACACTTTGAATGAAATATCATCCTAGACTGTTCCTACAGAAGGGGTTTCCAACTCTGTCCTTAATGACCTGCTGCCGTAATTCCACACGGTAAAAACTGATTTATTTCTTTACATGTTGTGGAGACCTGGAGAACTTCAGGAAAATAGCAGTTTTCTTGTTTGTACCTTAGAACTGTCATCATTAACAATTTAAAGCATTATGGGTAAAACTGGTTGAACAATAAAGCTTTGATGACACATGCAGGCAGATTTAAAAAAGGATCTTTACCTTGAAATAATGGAAATAAATCACTTAGCACCAGCATGACTGATTAGATCCACAACACGAGTCAGTCATGCAGAATGTCAGAGCTGAATCTAGGGCTGAAATGATTGTTTAATAGGGAATAAAGACTTTTATTTTTAGCTGGAAACTGAGGAGGGTTTTAACTCATAAAATCATACTGTTGATGTTAAAATATATTTAAAATAAACAAGTCAAAGCCAAATTAGGCAATTTCCTCAAAAATTAAATAAAATAAAATAAATAAAAAGGGTGCTAATGCAGATTTTGCACAAAATTCTAACTTTTCACAAACTTAAGGTAAGAAAAAAAAAACTACATTTTGATGCATGTATGTAATTTTATGTTTCTATTACGACTAGTTTAAGCTAAAATATAATTAAACATGTTGAATGCTTGGGTGTGAATTCACTATAATCAGAAGTGATTTGAGAGAAAAATATACGTTCTTTAACAGAGAGAGTCTCACTGGGTGAATTATAATCTGTGTATGTACCATAAAGGTTGTGGGAGTAGGAAGAGTTTGTTTGCAAAGAAGGCTTTAAATTTTTAAGGCATTTTAAAAGGTGGTGTGACATCATCAACATTTTATAAAAAATCTATTAAAGAACCTAAAACTGTGATTGCACCAAAATGGTAAAAGCTATAAAAGTGCCAGTGCAGAAATGTACAGTACAACTTTCTGCGCCCCATTTAAACTTTGAAGGCTGTTTTTATTGTGACATAACCTGAAGTACTGAGCACCAAAGAGGGCGTTTTCATCCATTTCACCAAAATCCTATTGACTGCCACTAGGAGTTTTACTGTGCATGTTTTGCTAATGTTGTGCACGTCGTACAGTGCATCATTACCAAAACTAATAACACATTACAGTAGTCCCTCGCTACATCGTGGTTCAACTTTCACGCTCGCTTTTTTGTGTTTTTCCAAAGTAAGAATGGACACGACACACAGTTGGCTGACTGATGGATGAGCCGCAAGAGAAGCACAGATTGTTTATTTAAAATAAATTATTTGAAATGGTTTAGCACCTCCTGCACCTTTGTGCAGCCCACAGGTGCAGGGAGAAACTCCCTCTGCAGCCTGTCATGATCTCCGCTCTCTGCCACCTGCGGCTCTCTGCCACGCCCACATTTCTGCACTGACCGACTTTTGTCTTCCATCTTAAAATTCAAAGTATGTTACATCGTAAAATCGTCGCAGTATTTACATTTAAGCTGTTTATTTACACAGACAGAGGGAGATTGGGAGGTGATGAGTGTGAGTGCTGCAGGTGGCAGAGAGTAGAGATCATGACATGCTGTGCGCTTTTACAGCGTTTAGAGTTTAGAAACTTTGTTTAGAATATTGCAAGAGTGTGGGCAGGATTTATAAGTCTTATATATTCTATTACTACTTTGTAGTAGTACTTTGTACTACTATCCCTAATTTGCAGTTTTTCTACTTATCGTGGGGGGCGTGGCCCCTTACCCCCACGATAAACGAGGGACTACTGTATTCCCAACTGAGCTGCATATTTTGGTGTATAATTTGCGTGTTTCAGCTGAACGAATAATCATCGTGTTTCTCCTCCTGGTTTGTGCTCAGCTGTTGAAAATCATTCTTGGGACAGGTTTGGCTCCATCCATCTGGAAGCTGGAACATCAGAAAGCTTCAAAGGCAACAGTGAGAAGAAAAACAAATTGTCCAGGTCTAAACAGGGTAATAAACTGAAGCCTGATAAAAGTGACAGTTTCATATTTCCAGACTGCGGCGTTTTCCTAAAGCTCTGCTTACTTTGCATAAACGCCGACGCTTATGGGACCTTTAAAACATTCATGCTCTAAAACTGAACAACATGTTGTTACTAAAATAAACCTGCCACAGCTGACTGTTTATTTGTCTGGCTTATATGATTCTAAATGTGATTCTGTTATTATTATATTTGTTTCTTCCCACTAGTCATCCTGCTGCCCACCATAAACTGCTTGACACCAACTTCCACCTTTAACAATGAACTTTTAGGGTGTGGTGCCCCTCTAAGGACGGTGATTTCACAAATACAGAGCTTTTTTCCCCACAGTGTTTGTTTGGAACAGTTTGTGAACAAAGAGACTACGCCAAAATAATGAAATAATGGGATTAATTTTCTTTTTATTCGACAGGTGTAGGAATCTACTTAGCCTCTAAATCTCTGGGAATGAACAAAACTGACAGTGTGACGAAAAAGGAAGAGAAAAGGGTGGTGTGTGTGTGGGGGGGGGGGGGGGGGGGGGGGAAGGAAGAAGGGGGGGGGGGGAAGGGGGGGGGGGGCAACATGCATAAATTGCACAGTACAGAAAGAGGAAAGAGACATTAGGCAGAGGAAATGTGAGCGATTTATTAGTTGGAAGAGAAATGCTTTCTTCATATTAAATCGAGCAGTGATTGGCAGTGACTCGAGTGGAGCTTATTATTACGCAGAGATTCTCCCCAATCTTCTCCAAGTCTGAGGAGACCAAAGCATCATTACGTCCTCATCTCTCAAATTTTTCCTCATCCTAACATGTTAATTTCTCTGCAATCTACAAAATCGACTTTGAGTCAGAATGCTCTCTGGGTTATGGAGATTTAGGTGCACTTCACTGCTTTCAGTGCTTTTTCAAATTGCATTGGCATTAAGCCTTTTCCCTCCCCACTGTGCACACTTACAGTGAGAATCTTCTCTTGGCTTTGCTCGACCGACATGCTTTAATAGTTTTAATGTCTTACCTCTGGAGACCGTCTAACATCTTCATGTCCAGCCTCCACTTTACCTTAAAGCACTTTTTAAAAATGCTAACAAACGTATCAAAATGATGTAGAGTGAGCTATAAGATAAAAGTATAAGTGCATATTGGAAATAAAGTTCTAGCACCCGACGTTCTTACAAACTTTGTGAAGTTAACAGAAGTCCAGAAACAGACTTTTTATTGATTACATTAGGTAAACACGTTTTATATTTTTTGTGAGCTTGGAGCTATAAACAGGCTGATATTTAATGTGCCACTAATCATTCATTTTAACAGTCTGATTCCTGCTGGAAAATAAAAAAGAAGATTGTTTTGTTCATTTCAACAACCTAAAATGACAAAGTTAAAATAATAGGACTATGCTGTGAAACAGTAGGATTCTTATCCAACACTAGCTTTATATTAAACAACTCCTTGGTAGTGGTTTTCTACAACAGAAGCAAAAGGTACATTTAAACTTCTAATTATTATTAGATTGATAGATTATTGAGCATGCATCAGGATCCATTTAAACTTGTCACATAATGCCATGCACTTTAAGTAAGGACGTACTGTAAGTCCTTACACTGGAGTGGTGTGTACAGGGTTGTGCAGAGGTGGCATTACAAAGTTATTTTTATGAAAAACAGTGTCAGTAAGTTTGCTTTGAGAAGAAAAATAAAATTTATTATATTTGGCTACACCCTCCAAAAGATGTTTTTTTGTTCAATCCAAGTTCAAGTTGCTCCAATTTAACCAACAATTGTAAATTAAAGCTCACAGTTTAATTTTGATTTAAAAAAAAAATGTATATTAGCATTTTAAGTAGAGTCACACTGTAGCTGCAACTTTTGGACAGTTGGCGATTCAAATTTGATTCAGTATTGCAAGAAAATATGTAATTTTTCCATTTCAGTCTCAAGAACTTCTGAGTATCTGAGTATTGATCGAGTGGCCAGCGAGTTGTAACACAGTATGTGTCCAATTTTTAAACGCAGGTTGCAAAATTATATTTTAATGCCATGCACATTAACCTGTTGCTCACATTGCATCCAGCCTGGCAGCGCCCCTGTGTTTATGATTTAATATCCTGCAGCATTCTTTTTAAACAACATGGTCAAATTTGAATCCTTTTTCAAAAATTATTAATAGTTTTTAAACATGTAAACATTTTATGTGAGAAGAAAGCTCCTGCAGGTGTCAGAAACAGATGTTGTGGTCCTGAGATGAGTTGGAGACAAATGCAACAAAACTGAGAAGGGTTCGAGACGCCTGCAATGACTCTGTGACTATTTTGAGAGAAATTTGGTCGCGCAGTTTAAAAAAAACTTGTTCTAACTTTCAAGTGTTAAGACTATAAGCCTCTGCAAGTCAAGCCAGGAAATCAAGAACCTCTGCAAAAGTTGCCAGGTATTCTAAAGGCTCCTTCATGAATGCTGTTCACCAACAAACCACGAGCAGTCACAACCCAGTGAGATGCTCCTTCCAGCATTTCCTTGATGACACTGCTGGCACAAACACAGTCACCTGAAACAATCCCCAGTAAAGCAGTTTGAGGATACCTGTTGCTGGCTCTGGGTCTTCAGTACGTCCTCTTTCTTTCCACTTTTGCTCTTCTCTGTGCTGTTCTGCTGCAGGTGTTTCAGCTTTGAAGCAGCTGATGAGTGGGTCTTACCAACGCTGGGATTATTCCCGCCCTGAGAAGGTAAGAGAAGAGAACATTAACTAAACACGTAGAACATGGCTGCACATTTCGTCCTCCTTCACAGTGCTGTCAGTTTCCACCTGAGACACTTTGTTTGACTACATCAAATAGACCGTGGTCTCCTGAGACCAATAAGATTTTTAAGATCTGAGCAGACAGCTGGGATAAAAACCAAACTATCCACTTCACAGACTTTTCCAATCTATCAGCAAAAAAAGACCAGGATGGAGAAATGCAGCATCGAAACTGACGTAGCACGGTTCGCCCTCGCAGCAGGATCCAGGAGGCATTGTGCTTAATGATCTTTCGTGCTGTGCTACTCCATCGACTTTCTCTAATGCACACAAAAACAGAAACACATTCAAACAAGTTTCCATCCAGCTGTGTCTCTTCTGCGCACAAAGACATTAGACGAAAGAAACGCAGAGAAAAGATCAGACAAAAATCTAATTTCTTTCCTAATCTGCTGAGTTATAGCAAAAACGGTAGTGACCTTCATTTTAATATATTCTAAATGTGACAAAAAAACCAAACGTGCACATACATTTGCTGTTTGATAGTTACACGTTTAATAGTAAAGTGAACTGTGTTTGAGCTTGAAGCCAGATTTCTTGTGAACGCAGTTTGAGGTACATGCTGGACACGAGGAGGACGGAGGGCTGGGTTGAAACGATCAACGTGATTGAAGTTCGAGTGATGAAATTATGTGTGAAGACTCTGTAATCCTCAGCCATTCCCGCAGGAATGCTGCACAGCCCGACATCAGAGGGGCTGAAACTCACCATGACAGTGACTGTCAAGTATTACAGCCCAGTCCAGAGTGGGAGGAAACATTCAGAGGAAGGGTGCCAATAATGTGTGAGCAGTCGAGACACCCCAGGGAGGAGGCAGCCGACAGAAGACGGCTTTAAACCTTCTGCTCATCACTAATCTTTTGTTGTCTCTTGGTCAGCTGGAGGTAAAATGAGCAGGGTCGTCACTAAATCTGATGAGAAGTTCATCACAAGCTCAAATATTTAAATTGAGAGTTGCTCCATTTGCAGGCTTGCTAAGTTTAGCCCTTACTTTTAATTTGATAGGATTTTGCCAAACATTTTCATCTTTGTCATAGTTTTACCTGAAAGTAGCAACTAGGGCTGCACAATACATAAAAAAATTATTAGTGAGCACAATGTTGACATCACTAAAGACTAGAGCCCGACCGATAAATCGGTAGGGCTGATAATTCCCATTATACACCAATATCAATATGTCTTGTGAAGCACCTTGGTCAATGCAAGGCGTTGTTGGAAGGTGCTATAGAAATAAAGTTTATTATTATTATTAATATAAACACTTCTAATTTTCACCCCTGAAATTCTGGGAACGAGCGGTAACGGTACAATGTATCCAGCAGAGGGCGCATGAAGACGACTTTAAAGTCAATGCCGCTCACTTAAGTTTAACTTTCACATTTGAAAAAGACGAAGCAGGGAGCAATACTGTGTGTAGCACATTTCACTGAACAGAGCACGGCAAGTAGGCCTGTCACGATAACAAATGTTGCTGGGTGATTGTCATGACTGCGATAAACGATAATATTGTTTGAAATTTGACAATAATTAGTAATTATTGTCAAATTTAAGAAGAAATGTTTGTTAATTTGTTTTGTGTGTAGTACATGTTTTCAACCACCGGATGGCAGTATAAGACAGTTTAAACCGAAGGATGGATAGTGAGGGAGTGAGCAGCGTGTCTCTTTAAGAACAATGGGAGGGAGGCCCCTTGATGTGACATGGACTGTCTCTCTTCGGTTCTCAAAATGGCGGACGCTCGGTGTGGTTTGAGCTCTTTAGCATTTTTCACACAAAGCTTTTAATAAAAAAATCAGTAAACAAGTTCTCAGATTCTTTTTGCAGAGAAAAACAACTTTTTACACAAAGGCACGAGTTTCAACCGTGAATTTTGGAGCTTCGACAAGACGGAGGTTTTTTCCCAAGGTCGGCCTGTTAGCTTAGCTCGTAGCTTAGCTTCTCAGTTTAGCTGCTTTTAACGTCCGAAAATGTGATTTTGGACGTTAAAATGGATTTTAAAGAAAATAGAAAGGAACGGGTCAGTGAAGAACCGGAGTCGATCCTTTTTTCATCCAGTGTCTTCAGTAGAAAGAGAGAGACACGAATAAACGATAAAGCTGATAAATGAAAACGAGGTCGATAATTTTCATTTATCATGCGATTAATTGATTTATTAATTTATTGCGACAGGCCTAACGACAAGTTTATTTTAACTGATTGTAAAACAAATGGACAATAATAAATTTTCTTCACCCTCCAACCCGCCTGTCATTAGCTACTGTCTCAAGTTAGCAAGATAACATTAGTGTTCGGTTGCACTTCCTTCGTGACTTTAGCCTCGTTGTCAGCAGTTTTAGCAGCAGTCCTGTCGGATCGAGCTTCCAGCTTGTGAGAACATCAGTGTTAGCATCATGTTCGTTATCCTCAATGAAATGTACCGTCTGAAATCTTTACTTCTCTGCAAAGAAAAGTAAAGTCAGCTGCGGTCAGTACTAATTAGGCCTTCACCGTACGAGACTTACTGTTTGAACAGTGAACAGGGAAGGACGTTTCTTTGTTTATTTATATTTTTGTAACACATTTGAAAACTTCATGGTGATTAGTGAGGGACAGAAGATGCGAATGCACATTAGGAAGACTGTTTTTATGGCCGGTGGACCACTTGTGAACCTACTGTGGGACTACATATAGCATGGATCTGATTAGCTTAGCTTCTGCTCTAAACAAACAAGTCCCGCTCCACTCGCTGTTTTCTTCCATACTTGGGGGTAAACACATCGCAAACAAATTCAGCCATTATATCGGTTACTGGCATTAACCTTCCCCTCCCAGTATGGTATCGGCTACAGCCAAAATTGCCAAATTGGTTGGGCTCTACTAAAGACAACATGAACTGCAACTCAAAGACCATTTTATTGCAGTCATGTTCTGCATGCTAATAATATATTTGTTCAATTCAATGGATTGTTCAGCGACCTTGATGTCAACATCTAACAGAGGTCATGCATGACAGAAGAGAAATGAAGAAAATTTAGATTGATCACAGTTGATATCATCATGGCAATATTCACCAATAATATCACTCGTCACAAGTTTTTCTAGTGTTGTACAGCCCTAGTAGCAGCGCTAAAATATTTTATTGCCTTCTAAAGGCCCAATTACAGAAAGCAAGAGAAAGTATAACACATTTGTAACGACTACAACCATTTAATGCAAAACTTAGAACACACAAAGCAGTTGCTGTTGGCAATGGGCTGAGGGAAAGAAAGTGGATTTCAAGTTAAAGCAGAAAAGGTAAGAAAAAGGTGTTTTCTAGGTATGACAAGAGGAAAAAAGATGAATAAATCTGAATTGTTTGCATTATTCCTAAGTTAATTTGACAAGAGGTGAAATGTGTTAAACTGGCAAAGATGAGGAGCAACGATGACGTGCTCCGGGATGAGCAGGACAGCAGCTCCACCTCGGCACAGAATGGAAAAAGAACACTGGTCTATCCGCTCCGCTTGTTCTCAGTCTGATCAGACATCAGAAGCTTGAAGAGGAAAGTTCCAGCAGACACTCGCAGAGAAGAAACAAAGAAGGGAAATGAAGCAAAACAATTCACGCAGCAGCAGTAAGTAACCTGGATTGATGGTTTTGGTGGGACTGGTGGCTTCTTGGCCTCTGAGGTCCTCTGTGAAGTTATGGTTGATTCAGTGTAGAGACTGTCTGCCGTCGGATGTCCACCGATCTCTATCAAGGTGTTCTCCAGCTCCCGAATGGTTTCCTCCAAACTGTCGAGCCTTTTGTAGGTACTAAGGCGAGCCTCTTGAGTCATTCTCCTCCGAGTGGTGAGACTGTCCACAGAGCTGCTGTCCAAAGTGCTCTGCTGTGTTCTGAATTCCTCAGCGTGCTGGAACATCACCGCACCATCCCCTGATTCCATCCCTCTCCTCAGAGCCTCCATGAGAGAGCTCTGCTTGCTGGGTTGCTGAGAGACTTTCATTCTGGGTTTGGGAACAGGTTTAGACAACTCCAGCAGGGAGTACAGCAGTTTGTAGGCATCTCTGGGAGTATTCTCCGTTTTAAAGAGCATAAGAACGGGTCGTTGACTCAGCTCAGCTTCAGACACTCGTGTAGTCTGTGGTGAGATGGTTAGAGTCTGCAGAACTTTGCCTGTACACCACAGCTCCTGAGCCTCGGGAGGAGACAAGACCCTCATCTCCAGTTCAGTCAAAAGCAGAGTTACTTCCTGTTTGAAATCCAAAAGGCAGCGCTCCTGCTGAAGTCCCTTTGAAAGCCCGTCCCTTACAACTGGAGGTTTGGAGACCGTGCGGTGAGCAGACACATCTCGTGATGGATTCTCTTCCACAATACGAGTTGTTAAAGCGCTCACAGCATTTTCTGAAGGAGTGACAGAATCCGGTAAACACTCTGTCAGCACGATGTGGGGGACGGCAAACAATTTTCCTCCCTATGAATAAACACGATAAGATATAAATAAAAACATACTGACCTATACCTTTAGAACAATTACTATAAACATTAGATAACTGTTCAAAGCACACACAAGCACAACTCGGGAAAATAAGAAAAGAAACATAATCAATGTATGCGTTTCTATTTTGCTCTTATAGTATCTGTGTGTAAATGCATTTACCTTAAAACTGGACATTATGGCTTTCAACACACAAAACAACATAATGTACAAAATCTCTGCACAAAATAATCTGTTTCAAGTCGTAACGATGCCGAGTTTATGGACATAAAGAAGATGCATGGTGGGTGCACTGTGCAAAAAAACATGCAAAGGTCAGTTCGTGAGAAACGTAAAAAAAAAAGAACATTTTGTTGTGACCACTCTTAAAATGATGATAACATTTCTGCGTACTTATATTTATTAATTTGACTTTTTAAGCCAGTCAACTACATATTTGTACACATCCTTTGTGTTTAAGGTGGTAAACATCTATTAATTTGACCTTGGCCATCAATCATTTAGAGATTCAGTTTAGTGATTCTGTTTTAACTTGATTTTTTTTAATTGCTACATAAATATGACACTGCTGCCACTAATTACAGTAAAGATTGTGTGAAAATAGAAAATGATTTTAAGGCATCTGGCTTGTTTTCAGGTACTCGTGTGTGAACGTCAAGAAGAGATCAAAGGTGTTTTTGTTTCTTTGAGACTTTGGGTTGAAGAGTGTGAAAAGGGAAAGTGGACAGAAGCTGAACAGTAGTGGGAGATGCCTGGATGTGGTGGTGGTGGGGGGGGGGGGGGGGTTAGGAAGAACAAAGACAGAGGGCAGCAATCCAGTTTGCTCAGGTTCAGCAAGTGTTACCTCAGCGGAGACTGAGGCCTGTAGGGGCCACAGGTCCAACCTGGTGGGGGGAGAACTCTCCCTGCTGCACAGGCTAACAGGGAGGAAAAGCGAAGGGGGGCGGGGGAGCCTGATCGGGGCTCTCTCAAACAGCTGCTGAGGAAAAACGAGAATTTTCAACAAGTCTGAGACAAGAAAAATAAGTTCCTATCTGGTCTTTGTTCCATCAGATTTCAGGCGGGGCGTCTCAGACACAGAACAGGTAAATATCAGGGTCCATCCGTCTGTGTGTGATCTGTGAGTCCTGGGTGGTGACGTGTGCCACTGAGCATTATGTGATCTGTGGGCTTTCCCAGAGCCAGGGGCATGGAGACATATGGCACCTGCTGGTTGAACATGTGGTGATGATGATGAGCTTATCTGCTCTCACCCTTTCAGAGAACGTGAGCGCGAAGAATCTAGTGGCATATTGTGAACAGAACGTTACTACGGGGAACTAAAAATGACAATTTCCTTTTTACAAAACAGAATTCAGGATATAATTAATCTAATGCACCGTCAACGATTTTCTTTACCTCTAATTCTGCAGCAATTTTCTCCACGTCTCTGTCGTCCTTCTCTCCAGAGGCCAGTGTTGGAGGTGTGGAAGCGGGACGGGGGTTTTCAGACATGGTCCTCCTCAATTTCACATGAGGTTTTTGTGCATCAGCCTCTTCAGATTCAGATTTCTAAAAAAAAAAACATAAAATCAGTTAATAGTATTAGGGATGTACGATATTATCGGCATTATCGTTCGATTCTAGTTAGCGATAAAGTTAAATATCGGACATCGGCCATCCCATCAGAATAACGCACCGATAGAAAAGGTGCGGTTTATATATGGAAGACGATGTTTTTGTACGACTGTTCGAGTGTTGTCATTGTGTTGGAGTAAATGTCATGAATAAATTTGACATTAAACATAATCCAAGCTGAAGTGTTGCATTTGGAGCAGCCAAACTGACAAAGACCGTGCAGAATAACGTAATAATTTAATTCCACTGTAGAGAAAGCTCTGTAGTCTCTGTAAGTAGGTCCAAGAAAAAAATTATTGGTATTGGTATTGATTATCGGCCAAATAAGTTTCAACATATCGGATAGCAGCCAAAAATCCAATCCCTAGTAAATATCTTATCTAAAGCTACACACACAATCTAAACCTTTTATTATTACACCATTTATTGATATATCAAAAATTATATTTAAATTGACAAATGAACATAATATATCAACTTGGAACAGTATTTTTTTGTCGATTTGTGAATTAGCAAAAGCTTAAAAAGTTGTTCAACAGCGAACGTGCCAATTGTTGAATTTGTTTTTGTAAAAAATGGCCAATTTTAAATTGTTACTGCGCCACCTTTATGCTTTTTCCTGGGAGAAGCGGCTCTCCACTGCGGGTGGTGACTCCTGGAGACGAGGGGAAACTGCGCCTGGGTGGTGGAGGTGGGGGGGACTTGGAGGGTTTCTCTGTGCGATATCGAGGTACTGTCAGCTCGTCTGGAAAACAAAGAAGAACAGATTTAGAATCCAAAATTCAGAGACAGAACTATTTAAAATTTGATAATGAGCATCAGGACTTTAAATCGTACCAGAGCCACGCCTGGACCCCCCCTCTTTAGCAGAAAGCTTGTGCTGGGGCTTGTTGGAACGGTGCTCTAGGGATGCTGCTCCACTTTGGGGGTTCTGGGTTGATGGCACGTTGGATGAAGGCTTGATATGCTTGGCAGCAAAGTCCAGGTCTGGAATAGCCTTCATTAACTCAGCCTGGGTCTCCTCCAGCAGTCGGTTGATGTCCTGGGCACTGTACTGGGTGAGACTGGCCCGCTTCTCCTCCCAGTCCCGCTCTGCTGCCTGCAAAGTTAAAGGAAACCAACCAGTGTAGCATCTGATTTACATAACTATGTTACTGTTGATATTATTTATGAAAACAATAAAAATAAGAACGAGGAATTAGTCCTACCAGTCGGACTTCCATGGACAAGGCTTTGTCAGCAGCAGCACGGCGCTCCAGCTCCTCCAGAGCTTTGCCCTTGTGGGGAACGGGAGGATGATTGTCCTTGTGAGAGCCAGGCGGGTTACTGAGACCTCGACTGAGGCTGGAGTGAGGGCTCCAGTTAGAAAGGCTGGTTCCTCCCCCGAGGTCATTGATGGTGAGCGGTGGGCTAGTGGTGATGTCAAAGCCAGGAAATGTTTGCAAGTCGTCGTTGTGCTTTGATAAAGGACTGGAGAAGATGTCTTGTTTCTTCCATACGCCTTCGTTTGCTTGTCTGGTGAAAGATGGAAGACACGTTTTAAAATGATACTGTTCCTCCCAGAAAATGAACTGAGCTCATTTTACCTCCTTCAGATCTTTAGCTCCGTTTACAACCTTTTACTGCTCCTTTCACCTTTTGTTCTGCTTCAGCTTCTTTCAACTTGTGCAAATTTAAACATATTTTCAGCTACTTTCAGCTACTGTCAGCTGTTTTGTGCTCCTTTCTGATTATTTTTGCCAACTAAAACATTTTTGTGCTTCTTCTAACTGATTTCTGCTCCTTTCAGCTCGTTTTTGCAAGTTTCAGCTTGTTTCTGCTATTTCAGCTAATTTCAGTTTTTTCAGCTAATTCCACATTTTTTGCACTCGTTTCAGCTTTTTTCAGCTTAATTCAGCTAAAATGCGCTCTCTCCACTTCCTCCTTGTAATTTAAGCTCCTTTCTGCCTTTTTAGCTACTTTTCAGTTATTTTTGTGTGTGTGCAAACTTCAGCTTTTTCCAGATAATTTCCACTTTATTTTGCTGATTTCTGCTCCTATCAGCCTAACTGAGCAACATTTTTCTGCTTTCTTCTGCTAATTTAAGCTTGTTCTACCTTTTCTGTTAACTTTTTTTGTGCCTTTTTTTATTTTTTAGCTAATTTCACCCGTTTCAGATAAATTCAAGTTTTTCATGGTAATTTTTGCTACTTTCAACTTAATTAAATTATTTCCGCTGATTTCAGCTTGTTATGCTCCTTTCAGCTTTCTTCTGCTAGTTTCAGATTTTTCTGCTATTTCAGCTACTATTTAGCTGTTTTATGCTAATTTTTGCTTTTTCAGCTAATTTCACAGTTTTTTTTAAGCTTATTTCAGCTCTTTTCACTTCCTTCTGGTAGTTTAAGCTTCTTTCTACATTTTCAGCTGGTATTTTTTTGTTGCTAATTTAAAGCTTTTCAGTTAATTTTCTAATTTTTGTGCTCATTTCTACTTATTTATTACTAGTTCAGGAACTATGCATTCTTTCTGCTTTCTTCTGCTAATTTAGGCCTGTTCTTCAATTTCAGCTACAATTCAGTAAGTTTTTAGCTAATTTCAGCTATGCAACTTCTTCAGCAATAAGCATTCACGCTGCATTTTGGCAGGAAATGCAATTTCTCTAGTTTTAGTTGCCGTTATTTTAAATAGCTTGCTTGGATCTTAACTATCAAACACAAGTGAGTCCATCCAACAAACATCTGTATCTGTATGAAGCAGTTGGACTGAAACTTCTCGGCGTGTGGACGGGCAGCCCATCAGAATTCAACGCGCGCCCTGAACTGAAGAGCAACAACGCACAGGGACCTTAGATTTACTGGTGTTTCTGTCAGAGCTGGTTCTTACTTGCGCATTGTGGCAAGAGTGTCGGTTATAGTCTTGCAGCGTTTCAACAGGGCGTCAAGTCTGTGCGGTTCTTCTTTAAGGAATTTGACGGCTTCTACCTCCACCCGCAGCACCACCCGCATTTTACTCTGCAGGCTCGGGAACTGATCTGCAGGAAAGAGCAGAGACAAAGAAAACACCAAGCTCCAGTTACTGGATGAATGTCTCCAGGATAACGAAAGCTTTTTGCTGTAATAAAACTTTACATCTTTTAAACAAGTGAAAATGGTCAGTGAGTTCATTTAGGCGATGAGCAATGGGACGGTGATTAAATGCAGCAGGCTGGCTGTGGGTGACTACAAGATAATCAGCGCCTCGGTGAGTAATTAGTGGATAATAAACTGTCTACTAGAGTAAACAACTGTGTTCACTTTAACGCCATGCACAGAACGCGAGATGTGCCAGCGTGACTCACTTTTCAGCTCCGTGAGAGTTTCTCCCAGCTTCCTCAGAACATTAGACTTCTCCTCCAGCTCCTGCACCGTCACCAGCTTGTGGTTGACAGACGACTCCTTCTGGATCTCCTCCACCGACTTCTCCAGGTCACTGAGATGGAACAAACAGACGGCTGAGCACCAGGGATTCCTCGGCCACACTTAAAAATCTGTTGTTCAACTTTCTGTTAATCTTCTGCCAGTAAGCGGTCTCAGTCGACTAGAATCAAAGTTCTGAACAGCTGAACTGGAGGAGTGAGCACTTTACAAACTTATTGCGAAAACTCAAGTAAGAAGGTGTTATAATATAAAGAATGCACAATATTATCGGCATGGTATCAGTATCGGACGATATTAGCAATAAAGTTAAATATCGGACATTCCACCAAAAAAACTCACCGATATAAAAAGCTTCTGTTTGAAGTTAATTTTTAATTTAAGAAACTCTCAAGTATATCTATTAAACAGGCTGAGTTTAGAACTGTGAAAAATTACAAATGAATAAGTTTTAACATATTGGCATATCGAATATCGGCCAAAAATCCAATATCATGCATCCCTATTTAATATATCCCCATAAGTTTTTTTCTGAATACAGTTGTAAGTCAACTTAAAATGAGGAAACTTGTTTAGTGCAAAGCTAGTCTGGTCAGAATCGTGTGCAACAGCCCATAATATTATAACGAACAAAATAAATACCTAGCGTTATTTGAAAGGTTACATAATACTCTCCTCCTTGTTAAGTGCTAAGATCCTTTTATAATGAAAAGCCATTGAGTTACAGCTGTTTTATACATTTTGTAAATGGTGCCGATACTGCGGCATCCTGAAATTCTGTTTGGAGAACGTGTTGAAGATGACTCGGCTACCACCACACCAAACGTTAGCTTCATATCTATACAAGTGTCTGAGTTAAAACCATTTCTGCGTTTTCTACGATCAGTTGATTACTGCCCGTCTTTCGGCGGCTGAATGAACATGTTCACATGCGAGGCCGAGGCAACTTATCCGATTATTAAATCTCCAGGTAGCTGTCAGCTCTCGTTCTCGCAGCCACTTTAATTAGTGGCCAAACAGCCAAGAAACTCAGATCTTAATGAGCATCTTGCTCGACGCCAGGCTTAATTACAGTTACAATTTCTTTCCATCACTGAGTCACCTTATTAGTCATCCAGCTGGAAAACAGATATGAACACTTCCTGTATCTGACAGAAAGAAAATATGTAAAATTAACTGTACAAAGTGTTTAAATCAACAAGGGAAATGTGCATGTATGCATGCGTTTACATGTATTGCTATGAAACAATGCACGTTTCTGCATCCTTCCATGCTTACCAACACTTTAATACGCACTGATTAAACAATTACTATGGCCTTGATAGAAGACTAACTGGAGCTGCTGGATGATGAGCTCCTCCTCGTTGAGGTATTTGAGTCGTTCCTCCTCCACAAGGAGGCGCTGTCTCTGCAGAGGATCCTCCTGTTTCCTCAGGGCATCGGACACGCGCACGTTCAGCTCTGCCTCCGTCCTTTTCAGCAGAGTTCGCACTGAATCCTGGTTCTCGAGCTACACACACACATCCAGAAACGTTAGAGGAACACGTACAAATAAACGACACGTACAAAGGAGGTATTCGTAAATTAACTGTATCACGGCTAAAAACCCAACATGAGCAAAGAAAGAAGAAACCAATTGAAGGTTCCAAAAATATTAACTTTGAGGACAACCTGAGTTTTATTTTTCATATTGTAGAATTACACTGAAAGAAGCAATAGATGTCTCCACCCGGGGGGTGTCCATGTGATTATATCTTAATTCTCACAACAGATAGGTGGAAGCCTCGAGGAAATAAAAAGGTTCATGACGGAGGGTGTCAGTGCTATGAACGGATCATTCAGCAGCCCTGCTGCATGTAACACAACTCCCTGGGTTGAAATCACCTGCTAGGCAAGAAAAATTAATAATTTATCAGCCTTCTGTTCGAGCAACATAGCAGTATCACTAACACGCATCGTTTTGTGGTGTTCCCAGTTCCAGCTGTGGTGGTTCTATTTACAACAGGAATCTGGTAACAATCCCAGTGAAAAAAATAAATGGACTCATTTCTAACTTGGAAAGAAACAACATTTGGACATTATTTTTCTCATATCAATGGCTAATGTGTCCTTAAATTAAAAGCTTATAAGCAAAATCTGTGACTATGCCAGTTGCCATGTTTATCTATGGAAACGGCCAAAATGGCTGAATAAAGGTCCAAGGTTGAATTTACCTGCTGTATTTGTATACCTGCACACGACAGCCAGCTTAATGTACTTAACGTAGGTGTGGACCTGCAGTTTAAAATATCTGCATAAACTCTTTGACTGTTTTAAACAGCTCCAGTTGTAATAACAGTTCAGAATAACCCTTTTTATGGTTGATTTTCTTATGTTTCATACTTTATAAGTACCTGTAAATGTCTTAAGTACATGTAAAAATAAAATTGTCTGTTTATTTTCAAAAGTATCAAAGCACTCCTTCTCTTAGTGAAGTGTACGTCTCACCTTCACCTTCCCTCCATCTTTAATTCATAGACCGCATGTGAAATTGAAGCAGCATGCGATCGCCGCGGGCAACAATAAAGAGCAAAGTGTAGAGGTCGTGATCGGCACAAAGACACAAACAGCAAACCGTCTTCTCTGGATACTTTACATCTACTGTATGGAGATATTTGGCCTTTCATCTCTGCTTACATACTTCACACAACTCGTGTTGGTTAAGAAACAAATAGCTGCACATGCCCATCATCTCTCGCTCATTACACTGCGTCCTCTGCACGAAGCCACCCCACTGCAACGTGGCGCCTCGAAACACAGAAACAGACGTACACACCGACTTCCACTACATTTATCTGCCTCTACTAACACTTTATATACTTGCAGTTAATTCATTCAACCTTTATTTAGACAGGTTGAATGAATGAATGAGTTGCAGAATAATCCAATACTCTTTTAATTTTAATATTATTGTAGCTTTCAAATGATACAATACATTAAATCATGCAGTTCAGTTATTTTCAGGTTTTATCATAGATGCATTCTTGAAATAAACGTAAAAAAAACCCCTCTGCCTCCGTCATTATACAATGTACGGTGCTTTGCATCAGCTGCGAGTAATAAATAGATTTTGGATGTTTCTCATACTTTAATGTCAACCTGTGGAAATCTGCAAACTGTGTGCACAGTGTGGCGTCATCGTCTGTGCGGCTTGCAGATACTTCTCAACCTGCAGGTGTTCCAACAATAAAATGAGAGAAGCATGGCAAACAATCGCTCATTCACACTGATTACAACGACGACGCTTCATTTCAGCGTAAACAGTTGACTCAATTAAACCTAAGAAGCATTTCAAATTACTCTGCAACATTCACCCAAGATTTCTTTTTTACTATTTCTCCAGTGAGAAGTTGACGAACAGAGCTGTGTCTGAAATCACTAGCAGATTAATTTCAGCAGATTTTTCCGTGACTAAAGACAAACTGGGACCACACACCTAACCAGCGCACCTGTTGAGCATCACAGACTCCATCATTTGTCAAACCACCTGAAGGCAACACACTCTTGTGAGGGTGACAGTTAAAGTGCAACCAAACGTGGAGGACAACGGGCTCACTGCTGCCGTCGTCTGCACGGCTGTCGGCTCTTCCGTGTCCCACTCGCTCCTTTTCCTCGGCTGTTGGCAAAACACGTTTGCATTTATGTTGGTGTCAGTTTACACAACCTGAATACATCCACACATTGATTTAGGTCAAATTGATTTATTTCTTGCAACAAAACAAAAAAAAAACATGTAGTGTGTCCTCGGTTTAAGAAGATTATATCTTAACTGTCCAACTGTAGACAAAGAAACACTTATTTTAAAGTCTTTACATCGGCTACTTGTGATTTTTAGAATAGATTTTATTGTTTTCTAAGTTGTGGTTTTAGTCCTACTTACTTAAGAGACCTGCTTTGACCGTGTGAGCCCTCAGGTCCGTCAGACGAGCAGTCGTGTAGTGTACGCAGGTGCACGTGCCCAATGACACGAGCTCGCGTCATGTATGTAACTGGCAACGATACGCAGGTACACGTGCCCAATGACACGAGCCCGTGTCATGTATGTAACTGGCAACGATACTTGACGTGGGCTCGTGTCATTGTCAACACATCTGGAAGATTTTATACTGCGTAGGTTCAACGTGTTTTTTCTATAGTTAGTACTTCTGTACTTACTACTTAATACTTGAACATGTTGTGCTTTGGTAGTTTTATAAATTCTATAACATGTTTTTAATACAAAGCCAACTGTTGTACAGTTTGTTGTACATTTATTCAAATATAAGCGTCAGAGAATTTTTGAAATGTTAAATATGCTTAAAAATACATTGATGATTACAGTGTACTAACTGGTGTACTTTGGTTTCTAAGCCCAGTATCCCCACAACAAAAATGTAGACTGCACCGCTGGCCTAAAGTTAGACCTAAAAACGACACTGAGAACTCATTTTCCTACAATTGTTCTCAAAAACTCTGTTCACGAACACCTGACATCAGCTGAGAGCGTTCAAGTTTTTAAAGGTAAACTCTGGACTTACCCATTCAGTTTGGCTAAAACTTCATTTATTCATTCACCAAATTCTGCATGTTATCATCTAAAGTGGGACTTTAAACTGAGTTGTAGTTAAATGTATTTTATTGCATTTGTTACATTACCTTGTTTTAATTATGGTACTGTACTTTTATTTTTAAGGAAATAATTGAAACTTTTATTTATTGGTAATTTTAATTGTAGTTATGTATCTCTTCTCCCTCTTTTTGTTTTTAGTGTCTTGTTTGTGCAAATTTTTAAATGTTACAATCAATTTTGTCATGATTATTATATTTTAAATATTTAATACCTACACGTCTGGTGTTTTCTAAATGCCAGTTTTACTTTTAGTCCTCTTATGTTCCAGTAACCAATATTTAATCATCAAAGTAATGACTCATTTAAATGATCTTGTTTAGTTTATTTCTTTTTCTTGTTTCTCTTTTATGTTTTTTTCTGTTTTAATCTGGTGTGAAGCGCTTCGTGTCCCATTGAGTTGAATGAAAGAGCTTAAAACTCTGATTAAACCTCAGTGAATCTAATTTCCAGCAGACATTTGGTTGGGTCTTTTAGGCTTTTTGCTGAAACTGACTCAGAAAAGATCTTTGCTTTTCAGATTGTGCAAATAAAAAGTGTTGAATAAAGGTGAGAAACGTTTTCTGGTCTTTTACTATCACAACGGATTACAGTAAGTGCAGGAACAAAGAGGTGTTTATGTAAGTGAAATTCAAATTGACACAAAACTTTTTAATACGAGATTCGAGCAGAGACAGTAAAAAATATACATTAAAACTCTCAATAAACAGTAGCTCTAAACTTGTAGCTGCTTTTACCATCTGCTGTAAGAAAAACTGATAAGTTCAAAATACCAAACGACAAGCAAAGAATACTGAATTACAAAGCAGCAAATAAAACAAACCGTAGACACTAGTCCCTCGCAACTTTGTGGTTTGTTTTCAGATTTGCTCTGTCACGGTTTTTCAAAATAAGATTGGACATGACACACAACTGGCTGATTGATGGATGAGCCGCACGATCGGCATGAAAGTTTTATTTAAAATACATAATTGTAAATTATTTAGCACCTGCTGCACCTCTGTGCAGCCCACACTGCAGGATAAGCTTCCTGCTGCAGCTGATCAGCTGTTCTCCGTGCAGAGCAGAGAAGTGGGCGTGGCCAAGAACGCTTGCAGGTGGCTGAGAGCAGCGGAGGCAGAGAGCTGGAATCATGACATGCTGTGCTCTTTTAGAGCGTTAAGAGATTAGAAATATTGTTTAGAATATTGCAAGTGTGGGAAAGGTTTACAATGCCTTCATATATATATATATATATATATATATATATATATATATATATATATATATATATACTAAAATAAACTACTACTTATTAATTGTACTACAATCTCTACCTCGTGGTTTTTCACTTATCGTGGGGCTTCAGGGTACGGATCCCCCGCGATAAAGAGGGACTTCTGTAATATCAAAACTGGCTTCATGGAAACAGAATTTATTTTATGCAGCTGAACAGAACAGACTACAAAAAAATAAAAAAAGAACAGATGAATGTTTATTTGATTGCCAGTACCTGCGTTTTGCGTAGGTGAGCAAGCTGTTTGCGAAGGTCGGTGGCGTTTTGCTGCAGACCGTGCAGATGCAGCTTCATCTGCAAGCGGCCGACGCTGTTCACCGGCGTTGTGTTCGAGGGTGGAGGTGGCATCAGAGCTAGAGGTGCTGACGGTGTGTTAGCTGCCAATCACAAAGCAGGACATTGGAGGTCAATGGGAAACAGATTCGTTAGTTTGTTGGGCTGTGCTCCTTTTAGAATAGAGGCAGTAGGAATAAACACACTCTCAGCATAATGTACATTTATAGAACATCTGGACACAGGCACACACACAGTGTCCAGTTTGAAAGTACAACAAAGAGCACCATATTATTCACAAAACTCCAGGTACGTACTGGTTCAGTTTGTCCTATTTAGTTGCGACACAACGGGATGCTCTTGTCTGAACACAGGGCTTTGTGAGTATGGCCGTCAAGCTCATTCATTTGAAACACATAAACACTCAAAGAGGAGTGTTCAGTGTGTGACAAAACATCTGACATTTCCCCAAAACACAAGCAAAAATTCACAAATCAGAGACGAGAGGAGTCCACTCTCTGGGAAATCAGTCAGGAGGAAGAGATGGGAAACAATCACTGCCATCGATCCATCAACACCCATACAGAGGGCAGAGAGGGACAGGGAACGTCCGACAGGGACAACGACTAATAAAAGAGTCAGAAAGTACCTTTCTGCTTCGGCCGTCCAGCTGGAATACACAAAGAGTGAGCAAGTTACCAAGAAATTAACGAGGCTGGTAAAATGATACAGCGGAGAGGAAAGTCTTCAAGTGATGTTCACAACAGGATGGTCAAGGGAAACATTTCTATTGATTAGAGCCCAGGAAGTGCCTGTGATGATGCAACTGAATGTTGTCGCCCATAAAACGTGTCCAGAGAGAAGCTTTGTGTGTGCCAGGCCTAAACTTCAAAATAAGAAACCGTTCTAATCCAGGCCGCAGGTGTTCATCATTCCATTTAAAAACTTACACCATGATAAAGACGAGAATAACACTCTGAAATAAATAATAGTTTTCCACACACTTGGGAGAAAGAAGGTAAATTAAAACCTCCTAAAGGTTTCCAAGCTGTATGTTTCGTTACGTCAACTAGGAGGTTATGTTTACACCTGTTTAGTGTTTTTTGGTTATTGAACACCTTTAAAAAGCTCCAGAGCTGTTAGAGGAGGAGCACATTTTATGTTTCTGAGATAACTTCACCCCTCTCTCCTGTTTGTGCTTGAAAATACTTATTTTTGTTCCTTCTGTTGGAGCAATACCACACTTATAATTTGGTGGATTTGTCCTTTTGTTATCAAACCGTGAACAATTCTCCTGGAATAGAACAAAGGGCATCAAATTGATGATGTAGGGATGCAGCCAGGTAGTAGTCCCTCGCTACGTCGTGGTTTGATTTGTTGTGGACTCGCTCTATCGCGGTTTTTCAAAATAAGAGTGGACATGACAAACAGTTGGCTGACTGATGGATGAGCTGCACGATCGGCATGACGTTTTTATTGTAAATGAATTATTTTAATTTATTTAGCACCTGCTGCACCTTTGTGCAACTTACACTGCAGGAGAAACTTCCTCCTGCAGCTCCTTCTGCCTTCTCCTTCCTCCTCCGTCGATCTCCGTTCTGCAGCGGAGAAATGGGCGTGGCCTAGAGCGCAGAGAGCAGCCGTGGCAGAGACCTGAGTTCATGACATGCCGGGCTCTTTTAGAGCATTTAGAGTTAGAAACATTGTTTAGAATATT